CACCATTGTCACCCTTGAGGCACCATTGTCACCCTCGAGGCATTTGCTGGCATGTGGATAAATGCTTTCATTGTTTCTGTGATTTGAATGGCTTGAGTCAAAAAGAAAACCCTGTTCTGTCGGCAAACCCAGAGAAAATTCACACGAGAGCATAAAGCACAGAACAGGCCATGAGAGGAAATGAAAAATCTCAAGGCAATGTTCAGCCTTCCATCAACATCATCAGCTCTCAAAAGAAACAGTGTTTTTGCATGACTACATTCAAAACAAGCCGTGATACTGGCATTTTCTAGGCAATATGAAATAAAGGATAATGAAGTTCTCACCAGAATTTTATGAAAAATCCATGGATTGCCTGAATGTATTTCAATGCAATGTGTGGCAGGTACCATGTTTTGTTGTTGACATGAACACCAGGCCTTATGTAAAATCATTTCCATGTGTCAGTGCTGTAGTGAGAGCCTTCACAAAAACATGCAAATAGAAACATGTGATAGGAGTATTGACATGACATAGTGACATGACATTTATGTCCCTAAGATAAAAGGGCATCATCATTCTGAAGAGACAAAATGCTGGGGGTTTATTTCTTGTAACCATAGAGCGATTTCTTGTGACTTCATTTTATCCTAGTTACACCACAGCATCAGCTGAGGCCTCGTTGGCACCTGTGGTCCCGATGTGCTGGGTCCTGTACTAACCCAGAGTCTAAGAGCGCTCCATGCCCTACAGAGCTCCATAAACCTTGCCTATTAAAAACCCAACAGCTTTCAGAACTTAAATTAATTTGGAAGCTTGACAGGATTTCAGGGTGCAGGGAGCCCAGCATGGTCCCATCCCTAAAACTCTTCCCATTGCCAACACATGAGATTTGAATCCTGGCACAGAGACACGTGCTGACTTTTATCCTTTTCCTGCAAATTCTTCAACTTAATTCTGAAAAAGAAAGTCCTGCTTTTCATTCAGTGCCCTCCCATATCCCCTATGTGGCTCTTCACTAAAAATTAAGGTACTAAGGGTGGGGAAACTAACCGGGATTTCAGTAGCTGTGGAGGATCAAAAGGAACTCCTGTTATCCAGTATCTTGGTTGAACTTGAGAGCTCCTGGACTCTCAGATGGAAGAGCACAGTGATTCCCCTGATGTGCTCTGCTGAGAGAACACCTTGCTCACCAAGAGCATCACTGGTGGCCAAGGGACAGAAGAATTCAGATCCTAAATCCTCACAGGGATCAAACAAGGGTCACCCACAAAATCACAGCACTGTCCTCTGCACAAAAACATCTCCACTCTCTGTGCCACCCAACACAGCCCTCCTGAACCAACATGCAAATCCTGCACACTGACACTGACACCAGGTAAGGGGATACCCAGCACATTTACATCCCTGCACCTGCCCTGCTCTCAAGACCAGCGGCGCCAAAATCCCCCCCACCAGCAGCTCTATAAAGCTCCTCTTTCCACACCTGACACTCAGGCAACAGCAGACGCTGACCTGTGTTTGGCATTGGTGCAACAGCCCCCTTGTCCAGCACAGCACTGCTCCCAGCTCCCAGGATGGAAGCTTGTCACTCTCCAGAGCAATTCAATGTCACTTCATATGCTGCCACATCTGTGGCCATTGTCATCCTTGAGGCATTTGCTGGCATGTGGATAAATGCTTTCATTGTTTCTGTGATTTGCGTGGCCTGGGTCAAAAAGAAAACCTTGAACTCTAATGAGAAGATCTTGCTGGTTTTGGGATCCTCCAGGTTTTGGTTTCTGTGTTTTGCATGGCTTTATTACTTTCTTTCAAAAATGTATCGACAATACCAATATGTTCACCCCATATTTCAACTACTTGCACTTGTTCATAGATTTTTTAATTGTTCCGAAGTTTCTGTGTCAACCTGTCTTTGTGTCTTTTATTGTATAAAAATTGCCAATTTTAGGAACAGTTTCTTCATTTACCTGAAAGTAAAAATTGACAGGATGGTGCCCTGGCTCTTGTTGGGGTCAGTTCTTTTCTCCCTGGTTATTGGAATCCTTCTCTTTGAAATCATTGAGAAACCTCAATGTAACAATTCCACTGCTCTAGAAAATTTTTGGAAAGTGAAAATCAAGATAGATGCACATTTTCTTCCTATTTATTTTATCACTGGCTTTGGATATGCTGCTTCATTCGTGGCAGTCATCCTTTCTGTCCTTCTCCTTCTCTTTTCCCTCTGGAGACACAAACGCAACATGCAGACAAACTCCATGAAGGACCTCAGCATGGATGCCCACATCAGAGCTATGAAATCTATTCTCTCCTTCTTCGTAATGTACAGCATCAACATTATATCTTTGATTGTGACAATAATTTATTCAGCGGAGGGGAAAAGTGTCATGATGTTTCTTTTTTATGTATTTCAGTATGCTTTTCCAGGTGTTCATTCCCTTATTCTGATTTTCAGCAATCCCAAATTGGAAAACACACTGCTAAGGATTCTGCCCTGTGTGAAGTGCAAGGTTGGCATGAGGTAAGAACTGTAGCAAAAGCTGCAGCCCATGCAAATTGTTGACCTTTCACTATAGAGAACAAGTCAATTAATATCTAATACAATCTACTGGCAGCGTAGATGGTAGAGATGTTTACTCTTCCCCATCTAAGTTAAGAAAACTGCATTCAAATATTTTGACCTAGATTATTGTGACTTAATTATTATTATCATCATTGAGTTTAGATAATTTTTGAGCTGAATTATTGTCAATAACAACTTCATTTAGATTTAGACCTGGTACATGCAAAAGGGCAATAAGAACACTGCAAACCTGCCACAAATGCTTCATCATCTGCTGATAAAACTATTATTAGTAATATTGTTTAGTTTAGATAATTTTTTGAGCTCAATTACTGACATCGACAACTTCATTTAGTTCTTGTATATGGGCTGGTTGCAAAAGGGCAATAACAATAATGTAAACCTGCTGCAAATATTTTGGTATTCACTGATTGAAAACACTGAACTAAACAACAGGTTTATCTCTGTTTTAGTTTACATTTCTTGCTGCTGTGGCCCTGTCCTAGTGTAATATGATGAGCTGTCTATCACTGTCTATCCATGGCTGATAACTGATGTGTGAACATGTTGATCCCTGTCACTCTCCACAGGTGGTCACTGACACACAAACAGTGATGCAGGAATGGCCGTGGGGGGCACAGGTGGGTGCAGAGCCCACTGCTCACTCCAGTCCTGAGTGTCTTCTCTGCCTCACTTCCTGCAAGAACAGGATTGCCCTGCTCTGTGTGACTGCTCTCTCACTCTGCTTTTACTTGTAGATGAGATCTGGCTCAGTAAAACATCTGGGAAAGCGGGATTTGTGCAAGGTACAGCATGGAATAAAGTCCTGCTGTCATCTCACAGTGACCCACAGGCAGAGGTACAGGGTGCTTGGGTCATGTGCTGGCAGTTGGGGACCCGTGGGTGTCTCAGTGAGGCAAGGTCAAGGCTGCCCTGTGCCAGGGAAAGCCAATTCAATGCTCTCAAAAGAACCCACCGTGGGACACAGCTCAGCCCATCAGTGATGGTCATGGCTCCTCTGTGAAAAGATAATTTAAGTGGTGCAAAAACTCAGACTGGTAAGGTGGAGTGAGGAAAATTGTAAGAAACAGTCCTGCAGCAACAGGGACAGCGAAGGAAGGGGAGAGGTTGCTCCAGGTGCCAGAGCAGACATTCCCCTGCAGCCCCTGGAGAGGACTGTGGTGAGGCAGCTATGCCCCTGCAGCCCAAGGAAACCCACAAAGAAGCTGAGATCCACCTTCAGCCCATGGATGACGCACCAGCAAAGTAGGTGCGGTGGGTGTATCCTGAAGGATTGCAGCCCTGAAGGATTGCAGCCCATGGAGAGCCACTCTGCAACCAGCTTATCCTGAAGAACTGTAGCCTGTGGGAAGGACCCTCACTGAAGCAGGAGAAGAGCGTGAGGAGGAAGGAGTGGAGACAGCTTGTTATGATGTGACTGCAAACCCTATTTTCTGTCCCCCTGCATTCTGTAGGGGAGGAGGTAGAGACTCTGGGAAGGAAGGAGTGAAGTTGTGTATGGGATAATTTGAGGGTGGAGACAAGGAGCCAAGCTGGGTTCACAGGCACCCAGCTTGAGATGTTTCTATGTTACTGTGCCATGATTAAATTGCTTTAAAGATCCAGAGGTCTGAGACTCTGCTATGGGAAACCCAGTGGCAGCTGGTAAGGAAACCTGGTCTGACTCTGGGGGTGTGGGGTGTGCAGGGGCTCAAGTGGGGCACCCGTGGGCTCACAGGAGCTGCCCCCTGCAAAGGGGCTTCGGTCCCAGCAGTGAAAGTCTCTGGTGGAGGGGTGGGACTGCCAGAGTGCCTCCAGGATGGGGAGACAGGAAAGTTTCCTTAACACCAGCATGAACAGAGCAGAACCTCAATTGTTTCTTTATGTCACCAGCTCAGGCAGCTCAGGGGGACGTTTTACCTCCTGCCCAGGGCCAAGGTGTGCACTTCTCATAACATCACCTTCAAAAAGCTTCCTCCCTATCCATGAAATGAGAAAAACAACCATTTAGGCCAGAGCAACTTCTCAACCACTGTGATATCCCCTTTTCCAAACACATTCTATCAGATTGCCTCACTACCAATCCATCTCTTTAAACAGCAACTCCCCAGAAACTAGCAAATAAATAACTAATGCCACTTTAGAACATGGAAGCCCTCCTTCTGTGCCTAAGCAGGATTTGGGGTTGAATTAACATTTCCATAACAAGTTCATAACACCTGCCCAGAGGAGATTTTTATTCTCTTTCCCAGGACTGTGTCCTGAAACAATTGTGACCTTCTGAGCATTGAAGTTGAGTTATGGATGGAATGGATTTGCCCAGAATAAACTGGGCATCTAAGAGCCTAAGTAGTTAGTGAACCAAGGCTACTTGTCTGGAATTTGGGTTGGACCTGATGATCTCAGAGGTCTTTTCCAACCCAGCTGATTCTATGATTCTATGATTTCCCATCATAAAGGAGAAAGACAAGGATTGTGGAGGGTAAAGAGGTTCAGCCTGAGCCAAGCTCTGATAGACACAATTGTGTGAGATGTGTGAGATGTCTCTCAAATCCCAGTACATCTGTGTGCCCATTCAGATGCAGAATCACAGGGGTCTGGTGCCATTTGAGGTGCACAAGGGCAACCAAAATATGCACATTGGCTTGTAGATACAAAGTCTTGGGGACTTCTCCTTTTTCAGTGGTCTGGAGGGCATGGATTTGAATTAAAAGCTGACACCTATGTTTCAAGCACCTGATCCAGATCTTCTATGCTTTGAAAACCCAGCATTTGAGACTCTGATGTTATACTCTTATTTTTTTAAGGTGCCAGATTGTCCACATGGAGCTGAGTCCAAGCCCCAGGCACGGTCTGGTCCTGCTCATTTTACAGTTTCATGTCATATCCCTTTATAAGCAGGGATAGTAGAGAGAGGACTGGGATAGATGAAGGCAGTTCATCTTCTGACCTGTTGGAGTAGAATTAGCTTCTGTTGTCTTCACACACATACAGGGAGATAAAAAAGTTTAAAAAAAAAAACAAACAAAAAACAAAACAAACCAAATAAAGAAAAGAAAAACCAAAAACAACCCCCAAGTAACCCAACTAAACCAAGAAATAAAACAAAGAACTACTACTAAGCCTACACCATATTTTCTGTTCTGTCAGCCAAAGCAGACTAAACTTGGAATTACAGAATAGAAACATAGAATCATTAAGCTTGGAAAAGACCTCTAAGATCATCCATACCAACCAAGCACTGCCAAGCCCACCACTAAACCATGTCTCTCAGCACCATAGCTGCACAACTTGTGAGCTTCCAGGAACAGTGATTCCACCAGTTCCTTGGGCAGCCTGGGTTAATGCCTGAACACCCTTTCAGTGAAGCAATTTTTCCCAAGATGTGGTGTAAACCCCCCTGTTTCATCTGGAGGTCATTTCCTCTTATCTTGTCCTTGTGGCCTGAGAGAACAGACCAATACTCACGTGGCTACAGCGTCCTTTCAGGCAGTTGCAGAGAGCAATAAAGTCCCTCCTGCACCTCCTTTCCTCCAAGCTGAGCCCCTCCAGCTCCTTCAGCTGCTCCTCATCACATTTGTGCTCCAGACTCTTCCCCAGCTCTATTGCCCTTCTCTGGACTCACTCCAGCATCTCATTGTCTTTCTTGAATTGAGGGGCCCAAAACTTAACTCAGGATTCGAGGTGAGGCCTCACCAGTGCCCAGCACAGGGGGCAGGCACTGCCCTGGCCCTGCTGCCACACTATTGCTGACACAGGCCAGGTGCCATTGGCCTCCTTGGCCACCTGGGCACTCAATGGCTCATGTTCAGCCACTGCCAAACAGCACCCCCAGGGCCTTTTCTGCTGGGCAGCTTTCCAGACTCTCCTCCCCCAGCCTGGAATGCTGCAGGGGGTTGTTTTTTTGTGACCCAAGTGCAGGACCCTGCACTTGGCCTTGTCAAGCCTTGTCAGACAAAATCTGCCTCAGTTGATTGATCCAGCCTGTCCACATCCCTCTGCAGAGCCTTCCTACCCCCCCACACGTCAACACTCCTGTGGGAAGATGGCTGGGGGTAAAAATTAGAGGAGACTAAGAATTATAGGGGAAAATAAAGCTGCTACTCCCTGGATGGAATGAGGTTGACATGCTCCATGATGATTCCCCACACAATCATAAGTACCTGGTACCAGGGATGGAATGGAGGGTGGGGCAGAGTGAAGATTCTGTGGCCTCCCTCCGTAGAAATCCCTGCAGGGGTTGCAACTTAGTGGGACCTTGTAGTGAATAAGACTGCACAGTACCTGCCAGCCAAGGGAGATAGATAAAGATGTCCTGCTGCTGAGCCAACAACTATTCAAAATCTGTCTCCTCAGATGAACTTGGTTCATTACAGCCTAATTGTAATTTTAATGCACACCTCCATCCCAAAGTTCTGACCACCCCTCACTGGGCATGCCCTCTATATTCTGTTGACTGTATCTTTAAAAGCAAAGCAAGAGAATTTTATGCCGATCAGAAACGAAGATATTTATGACTAAAGTCACTCAAGCTCCACCTAAACATGAAGAAATAGCATAAAAGGAAGTTGAGAATGGGGAATATATCAGGGAAGACCCAATCGAAACTGCTGAGATAAGTCAATGGGCTGAACCTGTCTTCTCCCCCTGTAAGGACACCGACTGGTTAACAACCACACTCCACGTGTGCTAAATATTGCTAGTAGGATTGGAGCTTGCTTTACGATATACTATATTGCTTTAAATACGTTTTTGCAGCCAGATACTATCACCAGCAACCTTCAAACCTTAACCTGTCACAATTTTGTATTAATAATGAGTGTTATTCTGTAAACTGCTGGAGTGAGTCCTTTACAGGTCCTAGCAGTTGCCAGCAAGGGATAGATAACACATTCAAATAAAGTGGGAAGACCTGCTGAGGGGTCTCCCTTATGCTGTTGGCTTAAATTCATTCAAACCAAGCTATGACATTGATGCTTTCTAAGCAATAAAAGATAAAGAGAAGTGAAGATCTCAGTGGTATTTTTACAAAAACCTCATGACTATATGAATGGATTTCAAGGGTGTGGCAGGTGCCAACTTTTGTTGTTGAGATGAACTCCAAGTCTTCTGTGAAAAACTTTCCATGTGTCAGTGCTGTAACAAGGCCCTTCACAAAAACATGCAAATAGGAGCCTGTGATATGAATATTCATGTAACATACTGATTGCCTCTATGTCCCCTGGAGAAAAAGACATCACCGTTCTGAAGACAGAAAATGCTGGGGGTTCATTTCTGGCAGCCATAGAGCAATTTGCTGTGATTTCAATTTTTCCTGGTTACACTACAGAATCAGCCAAGGTCTCGTTGGTACTCGTGGTCCCAATGTGCAAGGTCCTGTACTAACCCAGTGTCCAAGGGCACTCCATGCCCTACAGAGCTTAACAGACCTTGCCTGTCAAAAACCCACAGTTTCCAGGACCGAAATTCATTTGGAATCTTGAGAGTATTTAGGTGAGGGAGGAACCTAGCATGGTCCCATTCCTAAAACTTTTCATATTGCAAGTAGATGAGATTTGAACCCTATCACAGGGACTCATGATGCTTTTTACCCTTTTCCTGCATATGCTTCAACTTAACCCTGGAAAAAACCCCGCAGTTTTCCTTTTGCTGCCTACCCACCCACCCCACTATGTAGTTCTTCAAAAGTCTTAAGGCCTTACCATGGGAAAACTAACTCCACATGCCTGTGGAGGATCAAAAGAAACTCTAGTTTTCTAGCACATCGGTTGAACTTTTCAGCTCCTGGACTCTGAGATGAAAGAGCACAGTGACTCCCCTGACTGTGCTCTGCTGAGAGCACACCATGCTCACCAAGAGCATCACTGGTGGCCAAGGGACAGAAGAACACAGATCCTGAAGCCTGACATGAATCAAACATGGGTACTCACAAAATCACAACACTGTCCACTGCACAAAAACATCTCCACTCTTTGTGCCACCCAACACAGCCCTCCTGAACCAACATGCAAATCCTGCACACTGACACTGACACCAGGTAAGGGGATACCCAGCACATTTACATCCCTGCACCTGCCCTGCTCTCAAGACGAGCAGCACC